TGCTTGTTTAGGGGGTTTTTTCGCTGTAAAAAGAAGTTTTCTTCCCACGAACAACAGACACTAATGTTTTTGTCACTTTTTATGGAATCAAACTTAAAGTAAGGTCAGTACTTCCACACTTTAAACACTGCACGCTCATACTCTCTCTGCACTCGATATATTATCCATTGTTGATCTGCAGACAGCTGTTGTCAGGAACTTCGCACTCGCTTACGTCACTGTCATGAGACACTCTCGCGGAAAAAATCACGGTTTTAGTAACGCAGCGTTCCTACAGGAAAGTAATGGTAATCTAATTACCGTTTTTGCGATAGTAATCCCTTACTTTAAAAAAGTAATCAGATTACAGTAACGTGTTACAAGCAACGCGTTACTGCCCATCTCTGTTGCTGAGGATAAAATCATGTAACATGTTTATTCTTGGAGCAATTCGGCAAGCAAAATAGGCCAAAGTAAATCAACTCCAAGTCTCCATCAGGGTCTATTTTGCTTGCTAAACTCCTCCAAGAATAAACTTGATACATATTTTTATCCTGAACAGTGCCGCAGCAATCCTCTTTTTCTCTGATTGGGAGTCTTACAATCTCTCCACCTCTTTTCCTGGAATCATTTTCCCACCCACATAGCATTTCTTTTGCATCTGAACTGAAATTCACTTGCGGACCTAATATTTCTCGCTGCAAAGACGTGTCTCCGCTCTGACAACCGCTTGGCGCTACTTCAGCTGTAATCCTGTCATCACTGATGCTGCTCTGGGACTTTGGCATGGCAGTAATTGAATCTGCCCATTAAGTCCATTTAAACTAAATTAACTTATTATACATTTGTGAAAGAGAGTGTGAAAGAAGGCCAGAGAATCAGATCTAAAATGACCTGTCGGCTGTGTACATTAATTATAGATCTCAGTATTGTGGCATCGTAGCGATTGTATGGGGAACATTTTTTAAATGCTTCTGATATTCTTCCAGGTGTAACAAGCTTTGCTTAACCCGTGTGTGATGTAACTTACACACGTTTTCTACAAATTTGCTACAATGCTGCACTGAGGTAGAAAACACAAATTAAAGCGCTTGCTAAATGCATTTGCTGACACCCACACTCATTCACACATCACACATCTGTCACGGTGATGAGTGAATGCACCGCAGTAATTAGTGATCACTCACAGCCTTTCCTCATCGATCACTGTAGTGTCGACAAAAAGGCGTCACATGCTTTCGAGATTTTCTTTTTTGTTAATGTTTGTTGAAGAATTATCATAATGTTTGTTTTTCAGTGAAGATATGATAACGATAAGCATAATGGCTTTGGTAATTAACGAGAGAAAGCATTGTTTACAAATGTAATTAGATTTTTTTAAACACTGCCAAATCACATTTTTTATGTGTTGGTAATTTAATACAATTACCAATCACTGTAGGCTGCACTTGTATAATTGTATGAATTCTTTTGCAATTACTGAGTCTTTCCAGATTCTGATTTTGCATAGTTTTACATAGTTTTGCATAGTTTTACATAGGTTTTAAGGGGCGTTTAATATGAAATCAAAAACAGTTGAGTCAGTAGGAAATCGAGAACATGAAAAGCAAAAATGTATTGATTGCAAACAATTATAAAATGTAACAAACAGATATGGATAATATA